AGAGAGAGAGAGAGAGAGAGAGAGAGAGAGAGAGAGAGAGAGAGAGAGAGAGAGAGAGAGAGAGAGAGAGAGAGAAAGAGAGAGAGAGTTTTCCATCGATAGGTTGAGTGACGCACGGGCCAACAGGAAAGTCTCCAACCCCGTGGTTGGCCTCATGCTACTTCGATAGGATGAGCAAAACCGAATGAATATTCCACTAGAACATCGAAACATACACTACGACACGTGTGTGATTTCGCTCATCCTATCGATGGAAGTCGCCTCCCTCCATCTCTCTGCGTGCATGGCTGGAAAACTCCCCTCCCGCTCCTTCTACCACTCCCCCTGTGCCCCTTCCCGTTTCCCCTCGTGTTCCTTCTCCTGCTCCTAACCCCCTCCCCATTTCCCCTCCCACTTCTCCTTCCGCTTCTTCTCCCGCTTCTCCTCCTGTGGCTCCTCCGCGCCTTCCTGTTTCCCCTCCCGCCTCTTCTCCTGCTCCTCTTCCCGCTCCTCCTCCCACTCCTCCTTTTCCCGCTCCTTCTCCCGCTCCTCCCGTTCCTCTTCCCGCTCCTGCTCCGCCAAACAACGTGACAAAGATCCCCCATAGCCATGTCCTATGAAAAAAAAAAGGCCCGCCACGCTCGTGCACCCAACACAACCTCGCGCGCACCGGAGCCTGCTCCGCTCACACCACCCCCAGCCTTGCGGACACCGCTGGCCGCTCCCGTGCACACATGCGGCGAAGACGACGACCCACGCCTTCACTGGCGCGCCCCAGGCCTCTGCTCGTCGTGAATACGGACACCCCCGCGCACCACCACCACCCTGGTCACAAATACGACCCCCGCCCCCGCGAATTTCCCCTACAAACCGACACCCCTGCGGTCCACCACGACGCTCGTCGCCAATACGACCCCCGCGAACCGACGCACAAATATGGCCCCCACACCGCAAACCGACGTGCAAATACAGCCCCCGCCCCGCGAACCAACGTGCCCTCCTCAGTCCCCTGCGGCACCCCGCACGGAGCTCCCTGCCCGATTTTCGCGGGGCCCAGTGGGAGCGTCACGCGCGGACTGCTTTTTCCTTTAAGCCTTTAAGGTATATATATATGTAAGAGAAGTTCGGACCATTTCTTGATTTATGCGTGTCATCCTTGCGCAGGGGCCATTTGCTAATTTACCCTTCTCTGTATCGTTCCAGTTTTGACAAATGTCCCGAAGGACTACTGCAAATAGTTCAGTTCATATTGCAAATAGTTTTAGGTCATATTTATTCAATCTTATATACATCTGACAATTCCTTTTTTTCGCCCAGTTGGTAAAGTATCATCCAAAATTCGCGACCAGGCTCGGCCGAACCAACCGAGTTGCAATAAAAAAATGATTAGAAGTCCATATGTATACCAGAAAAAAAGAAAACTGATGAAGTTTGCAATTGTCGGAACCACGACGCTCCTCTCTCGATTATGAATTAATTTGGATAAGATATAAGGGAGGGGGGGGAGAGAGAGAGAGAGAGAGAGAGAGAGAGAGAGAGAGAGAGAGAGAGAGAGAGAGATGTATATATGAATTTCATTATTTATGATTTTATTGATTCTTCTTTTTACATTCAGTACAATCATTTATCGTTATTCTTTTTATTATAGAACTGAGAGAGAGAGAGAGAGAGAGAGAGAGAGAGAGAGAGAGAGAGAGAGAGAGAGAGAGAGAGAGAGAGAGAGAGTGCTCAAAATGGAAAAGAACACACGGAACAGACTCCCAATGTCTCCCATAACACATGAGCATCAGTTGAAAACATTTGCCCTTTCACTCTGTGAATGCTGTGGGCTGCAAAATGTGAGGGCGGACATCATCAACCCAAAAGGCCAAATCCACTGCTATCTCTGAAATACAATGAACCCAGATTGCACATCGTGCATGTCAAAGGTCAGCTTCAAGCAGAGCTCCCTTAGATGTCAAAACTGGCAGAGTCAACAAAGGTAGACTTTGAGAGTTTCATGCACCTAGCATGAGAGCCATGCCTAAATTCTCGAAGCCACCTTTGATCAAAGTCGAAGCAGGAAAAACGAACTTCCGAACACGGAGGTGACACATAAGCTGATGTCGACCATGAAATTTCCCATCTCCCATATAGTATGAAAGGCAGTACCAGATCAGACGCCAGAGACCCCAACAATCTCTGCAATTCCAAAACTACCCAGTAGGGCACGAACAAAGTACAACAACATCGACTGAGTGTGCAATCAATCATACATATGTCAGCTCTCCCCTTGTATGCAGGCTGACCTGCAGCTTCTTTCACAAACCCAGCACTGTTTTTACTAAATCAGGGAAAGCAACTCGGGAAGTAACAAAACTAATCAATTAGGAGACGCCGGTTCCATAACATGTCCATCTCAGACAACAACCAACCTTGTGTCTTCGGGATACGAAACAGTCGAACTTTTCCGCAACCCTGTACTGCCTCACGAGGGTACAACATGTGCAGAAGCTTTTGTGGTGAGCACTCACACAATTTCAGCTCTGCGCATAAATCAAATAGGAGACGGTGACGTCGGAAAGCCCAAAAAAAAGCTACACAAAACTTTGTACCTTCCGAGGTGTTGAATCAAGTAGCAGCGGCGCCCGTGCGCAAACAACCCGATAATGGACAATTCTTCCGACTTCACATGCACATGGTTTTCCCGAACAGACTCATGCTCGCCAAAAGCAGTACCCACCTATTACTCATCCCTCAGATGACTAGCAACGAACGAACCCTCAGTCGTGTGAGACTTGAGCCCCTTTTTTCCCTCGATGACGCTTACGAGGGGTCAAGTCCTAGCTTCCGCCTTTGCCTGCTTGTGCCTGGTCCAGATCTGTGTACATAAATGCCCGCCGGACATGGTACACAGAAGAACACACCAAGAGTGTTCTCTTGTGTTGCTCTATTCTGTCCATCTTCTTTTTCCGTGCGAGACTTTGCCGACACCCCTGGAGCTCGTCCCTTTTCTTCATGCTCAGGAACGTTCCACACATTTCGACCGGAGAGTCGACACTTCTGTCTTTGTCCTGCCACCATTCCTGCAATCGACCTGGACCCTTCCCCTTTCCTTCTCTCTTAGCTGCATGATACGTTTCAATCACGGACTTATGCTTGGCATTGAAGATTTCAGAGATTTCACCACCATCCTTAGGATCCTTGATCAGCTTGCAGAAAGCTAGAAGCATCCATCCATAAAAAAGGAGAGGCATCAATACACCTTCCATACCGGCATGCGCGATAACCTGAATCCCCCTCGGTAACGAGCAGGCGACACAGACAGTAAATGTGTCGCTCCACTCGTTAAGGCCTACTGGATTTGCTACTTGTCAACAAAAAACATCATTGGACGCATCTTGACCGGATATCATCACCTATAGTATGTTGGTTGGTGGCCACATCATTTAAGAGTGAGGCGGAGATACTTGGGCACCACCATGTCTGTGCACTTTACCTAGCAATTACTTTGCTACCCCTAATAGAAATTCTCCATCACTCTCTCATGTTTGGGTCGTGCAGGAACTCACAATCATCTCCCTTCAGACACATGTTTCTAGCGAAGAAACGGCAGGGAATCTTCTTCCGGGACCAGACGCGTCCCTCATCAGGACCAACCCCAATGCCTCCCCGGTTGCCACCCCCATACCCTCCTCCACCCTCCCATGATCCGCCTGCGTCACCATGTCCGACTCTGTCCCATCCACCTCCTTCGCCAGATCCTCCCCATCCACCTCCATCACCTGACCCTCTTTCCCATCCACCTCCTTCCTCAGACCCTCTCTCCCATCCCCCTCCGCCTCCGTCTCCATACCCTCGATCCCAGGATGCCATGCCCTCCGCATCTGAAGACCTGGCTCTGGATCGACTGCCCCTCCCACCATTCCTACCCCCTCGGCTGTCACCACCTCCTCTTCCACTCAAACCCCCCCGGTAACCTCCATCTCGAAACCCGCGATCACCGCGGCCAGTGTTCCTGCTTCCCCAGCCACCTTCACCCCAACCCCTCTCATCTGACCTTCGACTTCCCCATCCCCGACTTTCCGCTCCCCAACCTCTTGGCTCTCCACCCACCCTTCTCCCACTCCCCTCGAACCCTCCCTCTCGCCCATACCCTCCCTCATCCCTGGCCCCAGGCCTGGACAAATTACCCTCCCTTTCTTGATGAAAGTCACCCCCTTCATCCACCATGACCCAGTCTTTCCTCACCTTTCCACCACCGCTCGCTGTCCCTTCCCACCCAGAACCTCTCTCTCGGCCCCCCATTCCTTCGGAACCTCTCTGAATGCCACGCCCATTGAAGGGCGTATTGGGAAACACAGCCTCAGGCCCAACCTTGCGTGCGGGCATGGGCTGTCCAGATGACAGGGGGTGTGGGGGAAGTTGTGGTCCCATCATCATTCCTCCAGCTTCCTGGGCCGGATGATTGCCACTTCCCATGGCAGCAACCACCATTCCTCCACCAACGTCAGACCCGCCATCTTCCCTTGGCCCCCACCCACTGCCCCACTCACTCCTTGCATTCCAATTGTTTCCAACGTTTGTCCAATTTTCAACACCTGTTGGAGGAACACTGCCACTGCCGAAAGGATCCATGCCTTGGTTTAGGTCACCTGGCAACCTTCTCACGGTGGGCATCATCCCAGCTGGTATGTCCACAGAGGGGTGGACAGGGACCAAATTAACAAGAGCAAGCCCAGGCATCATATTCATGCTAGGGGGTCCAGCAGGGATGTTCAGAGAAGCAGGGCCTGGAGGCATATTTACAGCAGGGGTACCAGATGACACATTCACAGAAGGGGTGCCAGGGGGCACGTTCATAGGAGCACCACCAGGTGGTATGTTCATAGGAGCCCCAGTGGGCATGTGCAGAGGAGGGCCAGGTGGGCCATCCACAGGCTGCGAGGGTGACACATTCACAGGAGGCTCAGTTCCCGGCGCAGGGGGCTGGGCAGGAGCAGGGTCGACAACACCTGCGGTAGGGTTCATGCCCCCACCTGGTGCAACCCCAAGGCCGTCAGTGCCCAGTGGCACAACACTTCCAATGCCAGTTGCAGCAACAACATGGCCCACAACATTTGCCACACTAGCAGGTGCAGCAGGGTTCAACCCGGTTCTGCCCCGGTTAGTGGGCAAGGGGACATTGCAGTTCAATTGCCCAACCAAACTAACTATATCAGACAGACCTGCTCCCACTGTAGGATTGATTGCTGAGCTTACACCTAATGCTAGGCCAGGACCTAGAGTCGATGCCAACGTGTTCACCATACCAGGACCCAGTGATGAAACAGCCAAGCCTTGGCCCAGGTTTGGAGCTAGGCTTGAAGGAAGACCAGCGGGCAATAGGGGACGTGCACCTGGCCCAGAGCTGGGCACACTGCCATCAGCACCACCAACACCCAGCTCTTGAACAACTGGCAAAGCTCCACCGGTGCTAGGGGCTGGATGAGAGGCGGTCATGCTCGGCCCTAACGTAGAGGTCAAAAACGATACTGCCGAACTCAAGCTTACATTTGTGCTTCCATTTCCTCCAGAGACACTGGCCAACGCTATAGAAGTCACTGGTGCACTCTCACTCCCATCCATTCGGGCACTGCCAACCCAGGAAGAGTGTGGCATGCCTCCACTGGACCTCTCATGCGATAATATCTGCATTCCGCATGCTGCACCTCCACTATTACCAGCATTGCTCTCCGTCAGGGACACCTGGAAATTCCCTGCCAGTGCATCTGTCAGAAGTATTGATTCTTCGCGTGGTTGGTTCATTTTCCAAACACGCAGGTCCACAGGGAATGCTCCTGTTGCATGCCATTTTCTCAACTGTTCCATGGAGAAGGGTCCTTGAACTGTTCCTGTTGGATCCGTGTAGTGCCACTTTGGCTCCTTTTCCACTGTCTCTCTGTTTGCCATTGCATCCATACCGCCAGGACCCCGTGAAGAAATACTTGGTGCCTGAAATGTGCCATCAACGGGTTCATCCTTTACCCTCTCAGTGCTTCCCCAACCCCCACTGCGATCATCTTCGATCCTTGCCCTGGCACCATAAGCTCCCCCCTCCTGTTCGTAGCCACCTCCATAGCCCCCATAATCATCCCTTCCGAATCCACTTCCTCTCCCACCACCACCTCTCCCATCACCCCGTTTGATCCAGCCTCGTCCACTTCTTTCCCCATGGCGGCCAAACCGCCTCTCCCGCATTTTATCCTTGTCTCTTCCTCTGTCTTTGTAATCCCGGCCTCGTTCTCTCTCAAAACCTCGATCCCTGTCTTTGTGAACCCCCCATGTGCCTCGGTCATCGCTGAAGTTCTGATCACGACCTCTTGACCGCTCCCGGTCACTTCCCCACTCACGCCCTCGCCATCCCCCCCCCCAACCACCTCCCCCCTTTTCCTCGGTGCCCCAAGCATCAGCACCCTTCTCTTCACCATCCTTCGTCCAACCTTTCGCACCTGTGCCCTCAAATCCCCAACCTCCGCCTTGTACTTTCTCTTCTTTTACAATTCCAGGAACCGGTGATACCTTATCCTCTGTTCCCCATCCTTTAACTCCCCTCTCATCCTTCCTCCCCCATCCCCTGCTCTCTTTCCCCCAACCTCTATCCTCAGCTCCCCAAGTCTTCTCCTCCAGGCCCCAACCTCGTCCGCTACCCCAGCCACCGCCTTGTTTCTCCTCTTTTACCACCTTGTCCTCCTTCATGCTGCCCTTCTCCTCATTGTGCAAGGTTCCATACCCTCCGCGATCATCTTTTCCTCCTCGGCCTCCAGCTCCACCACCCTCTCTAACCCAGGTCCCAGACGCCGATCCACCCCGTGCTTCCCTTCCCCATCTCCTGTCGTCTGACCCGAACCACGGACCTCTTAAGTAATTCTTACTTCCAATGCCTTGCCCCTTCAGTCCGTCGGCACTTTTTCCCGGCATCATCCTCTGTGATCCTCCACCAAAGGGGCCACTTGTTTCGCCCCCTTGTGGTCTGTCCATATCTGTGTCTGGCCACATCCCATGCAGAAAACCAAATACATAGACCAACCACCAAAGTCAGCAACAGAACCACCATAGCCATCAACACCTTCATATCAAAGATGACCCAGCAAAAGAAAATGCAGGGATGAGCCTCGTACATCACACTGTTGAGCCAGAGTAGCTACCGTAACACTTGCCTTTCTTGCAGCCACTTCAATTGATCAGTTGTGCAATCTTTTGCACCAGACAACACAAAGTCCGGTTGTGCTGGGTGCAGCCCAACCACATGAGTGCTGCTGTTACTTTTGTTGTGAGTGTCGCAGGTGGGATTCAAACCCTGTACATGCAAGACTCAGTTCTAGCTAGTTTTCTTTGTAGTATGGCCGCTCAGACTTGATCCCAGAACCTGTAAGGCGAGATATATATTGTCCTCAGTAGCTGAAAGTGCAAGAATTTGAACCCAGGCTCTGTCATGGCTGGCCAGTGCGCAGTTGCTGAAGCGTAGGCTGTTCAGCCAGTCCTTTTCTTATGCAGACTGGTATTTTCACACTGGCAGGCCTTTGCCCCCAGCCAGTTCTCTTCTTATCCAGACTGGTATTTTACTATTTTCACACTGGCAGGCCTTTGCCCAGCCAGTTCTTTTCTTATCCAGACTGGTATTTTCACACTGGCAGGCCTTTGCCCGTGTGTTGGGGAAGTGCAGTCCAGCAGAAGTAAGAGTGAGTTTAAAATTTTTGGGGCTCATTTTCATTCCAAGTTTTGGAAGTCCAGGAAGAGGGCGAGTATTTTTGCTTGTCGCCAGGTAGGCACGAGATGACAGCACAACCATAGGCGCTTGTTACTGTGGATGCTCATATAAATGCTTAAACCACCAGTACTTTTTACCCTTCTGCATGGGTCCTGGGGACCACCTTACGCAAGAGTGCTCACAGCATGCATCATCATCATACACAGTGAACTGAAGTCTTCACACATTAGACACAGGAAAGGTAAGAAGAGAACCAAGTTGCACAGCTTATATTATCAACAACATGATTACAAAGAGTGTCATAGTTCCTTTCGTTCAAGCGCTCAACCAGCGCAACACAAATCTCTCATCCAACTCGTTAATGTGGCTTCTACACATCAGTGCCACCCCTGTAGATTACATCCAACTCAGGTAAGTAGCCACCATAGCCGACTCTCTCTTGAACACTCTCTGTTTCGGTTCTTCTCTTCTTTTATGCATGCACACTCTCTTCTCTCTCAAGGATCTACTCTGAATGCTACTCATAGAACACTACTACTAACCCTCTAACCTATCACTAACTCGCTGGGCAGCTATGGCTGCTTCTCTTCCCCAGCGCCCAGTCTGCTTCTCTCATCTAGCGCATCTTCATCCTCCAGCGCTGTTCCTCCTGGCTGGCGCACAAGTGCTTCAGCACTTCCACGCACAGAATGCCAGTAGAGATCTGGCATGAAATGAGGCTGGCTGCTTCCTTTATAGTGCTGGCCTCCTCACACTGGGTCTGCATTGGCTCATTTCAGGCCTTCCTTTGTCCCAGACCCTGCATTGCATTTGTCCCAGTACTTGTCCCAATGAGGTTTGCTGCTGCTGAGGCCCTTCGGCCTGGATTTGGACTTAGACCTCTGAATCTGGACTGTTTAGCAGACAGAGACCAGAACTGGGACTCTGTTTATTGACTTACTTTTGAACAGGCACAACTCTGAACGAACAGACACACTTACTGCCCGAACAGACATCTATATTGTGGGAATAGACACTCTCTTTCTGCACGAACAGGCACACTGATTTCACGTACAGACACATCCCTGACACATCCCTGTCTGAACAGACATTTCACGGACATCTCCTGACGAACAGGTATGACCTTCGATCATGACCCTTGGCAATGACTTCTTGCTTTAGTTTAGATGTGCCCTTTGACCAGAGGACTTGACTTTTGATCTGTTTTCACGTTTCCTGGGTCCTGGCGAGATACCCCTTCACGCTGCTTTACTTTTACAAGGCCTGAACCGGGTAAAGGCCCTTTTACTCTCGCCGGCCTAATTTCGAGGTCCTCTAAGAAATCAATCATCGATCAATAATATTGATTCCTTTCTTTGCTCTTTCATACGCAGACACAATATGAGATGCAGAATCCAATAACTCTTCTCTTGTAAACCAGCGATCTTCACTGGGATCCTGGTATGCGAATCTGACCTTATATTGACGTTGTGGTCTGCCTCTACGACCAGTGTGAAAGGTACTTTCTGCAACAATCTTATCCACATCGTACTTTCTGTCCACACTTGGAGGTATTGCGGATCTGCGACTTGGAAATAGCTCATTTGTTACACAAGGTAAGAGCTTTGATGCGTGGAACACTGAATAGGTAGGTGGGTAGAAGTTTTTGAGAAGGACCATCCACATCTCCAATCACATCTAAGACCTGCCAAGGTCCTCGGTAGGTGGGTAGAAGTTTTTGAGAAATGTTCTCCTCAGGAGCAAACTCCTTAGACTTCACCCAAACCAAATCTCCTCAGCATATTGAGAGGGCCATCTGTGCTTATTCGCCTGTTCAATCATTTGATGTTGTGCTTTGATTATATTCTCCTTTACCTTCTCAATGTCTTTCTGATATTGAATTGCGAACTCACTTGTCCCTGGTGGAAGCTTATGCACTTGATCTGGGTTTAGACGATCAATCGGTCTACGTGGTCGCCACCCCAAATGTAACTCCATAGGAGTCTTACATGTAGACAGGTGTACAGAGTTATTATAGGCACTAGCAACCTTAGGCAAATGTTCATCCATGTCGATCTGGTCGGGACGAATATACATGCGCAATGTCTATTGCAAGATTTTGTTCATTTGCTCAGTCTGGCCGTTAGTCTCAGGATGCCTACCTGATGACATAGTCAACTTAGAGCCATAGACATTCATTAGTTGCACTTACAATAGTCAAGGGATGTCCAAAGTCTTTCACCCAGTGGTTAAAGAAGTCTCGAATCGTGAACCTTGTATCTCTGTCACTTACAATAGTCAAGGGATGTCCAAAGTCTTTCACCCAGTGGTTGAAGAACTCTCGAATTACCAAGTCAGTCTTCGCTTGCGAAGGTAAAGCTACAAAGACAGCATACTTAGTAAATCTATCAACGATTACCATCACTTCCGTTTTTCCATTCCTGCTTTTCACCTTAGTGTCCATGAAGTCTATAGACAAAGAGTCTTCGGGCCCTGTCGGGATAGGTAAAGGCTTAAGCAAACCAAGGGGAGATTGCGTAGTGCTCTTATTTCGTAGGCACACTCGGCAACCTTGCACATAAGCAATGCAATCAGGCTTCATACGGGGCCAGGTGTAGGAACGCAAAAGATTCGCATAGGTCTTCTTCCACCCGAAATGACCTTTGGTATCGTGGCATTCTCCTAAGATCACACTCTTGATCTCTTCCACATTCAATATGCATAGCCTATCATGTACATCAATCCTTTCAAACAATAGGCCCTGAGTAACCTTGCAATTAGGAAACTCTGCTGGCGCTTCTTGCACACACTTAATTATTGCACCATAGACAGGATCAGTGGGATACGCATTTCTAATCTTTTCTTGGACATCGGCACCAACATCTAAGTACGTTACAATGGCACCGAAAAAGTCAGACCTACGACTTAACGCATCAGCAACGACATTGTACTTCCCTTTAACTGGCTTCAACTCAAAATCGTAGAGATCGAGTTCAGTGGCCCACCTAGTCAACTTAGGTGTCATATGGGCCTGCGTTTTGAGCCAGCGAAGTGTTTCATGGTCGGAGTATACTTTGAAATGCCTTCCTAGAAGATAGTGTCGCCAATGATTCAAAGCTTCTCGAAGAGCATATAATTCTCTTTCGTAGGTGGAAGCGGCGACCTTCTCATTAGGTAAACGACAAGACAAACTCCACAGGTCGATACCCATGTCCATCATCTTGCTGGAGTACCGCACCTATGCCATATTGACTAGCGTCAGTAGTCACCACGAAGGGTAATGACGGATCAGCAACTTTCAAAACCGGATAATTAATCAAGCATTGCTTCAGACGCTTAAATGATGACGTGCAACTTGAATCCCACTTCCAGATTGTTTCTTTCTTGAGCAATCTGCGAAGAGGCGCAACTATCATCGTGAAGTGTTTAACGAACTTCCGATAATAGTTGGCTAACCCAAGAAACGACCGCAACCCAGTCAAGGTGCGGGGGTTCGGCCAATCTCTGATGGCTGCAATCTTTGCATCCTCTGGTTTGACTCCATCTCCATCAATTACATGACCCAAATACAAGACCTGGCGCTTGGCCCATTCACACTTCTTTGGGTTCAACTTGAGATTTGCTTCACGCAATTTACTTAGCACAAGTCGAAGGTGCTCAGCGTGTTCTTTCTCATCTTTGCTGAAAATCAAAATATCATCCAAATATATTACGACAAATTTATCAAGCCACTCTCGAAAGAGTTCGTTCATCGTTCTTTGGAAGGTTGCATGGGCATTCGTTAGACCAAAGGGCATAACTATGAACTCATAATGCCCATACCTTGTCCTGAAGGCAGTCTTATATTGGTCTTCCAGTTCTACCTCAATCTAATGGTATCCGGATTTTAGATCAATCTTTGTAAACAACTTGCATCCCTGCACACGATCCAGCAAATCATCTATTAGCGGCAACGGCTCAACATTTTTCACTGTTATATCATTCAATCTCCTATAATCTATGCACATGCGAACGCCGCCATCTTTCTTAGGTACGAAAAGCACGGGCGCACCATAGGGCAAGGAACTTGGTCTTATCCACCCCTTTTTCAGCAATTCATCAAGCTGGGTTCGCAGTTCATCCAATTCTTGAGGTGACATACGATAGATAGCCCCCGTAGGAGGTGAACTCCCTGGAATTATGTCAATGCGATGCTTAATAGGTCTTTCCACTACACCACTTGGGGCTTCTACCACATCTGCGAACTCTTTCAGGATTCTTTCAATTTCTTGGGACTTGACTTCTTCCTTACTTTCACCCTCTCTCACTGGGCGCACATATGCAACAAAGACTTGATCATACAAGTTATATCTTTTCACATGGCGAGTGAACGCTGGGGCACTCATACAACAATGAGCTAGGCTGTTTTCCTTTCCTGACTCATGATACAGACGAATCTTCTTTTTGCCTCCTTGTGGACTAGGGAGCCAACACTCATGGTCCCTCAACTTCAAGTTTGCATCGACAGCCTCACCCCAATCTGTGCCTAACAATACATCAAAGGGCAAGCTATCTTCCACCAAGAAGGTCAGAGAGTGGAGAACACGTTCCACCTTCCCCTCTGCCTCGAGCCGAAAGTATGCTTGTACCCCCTCGACGTACCGATCCATCACAATTTCACTACTATTAGCTAACTTACTTATTATGGGCTGATTCAATTTCTTAACTTTAAGCCCAAGACGCAGTTTTTGCAACCCTTTCTTACTGATATAAATGCGTGTAGACCCACTGTCTATCATTCCACCTACTCTTACCTTATTTATTTCAAGATCTGCAAGGATCAACTGCCCTTTCTTTTTCTTCATTTGAGTCCACGCTTGGCGACGACCGAGCAACTCATCACCCATGCCAGCGAGGGATCCATCTAGAGAGATGCAAACACTTGCCACCTCTGGACAGTGCACTGGGTGGGGACTGTCTTCCTCTTCAGTCTCTGCCCTTGAGGCCTTCAAGTGGGAGGATCCTGGTTTTTCAACACTCGAAGCCCCGGTAGAGGCAACTGGAACCTCTACTGGCTTTTCCCTTTTGCTCCCCTATAGTCGGGGCAATAGGGAACAATGTGGTCGGGGTCCCCACATTTGAGACATTGATCGACAACTTTTCTTTCTTGCCAAACCTTTTCGGTTATTCCAAGTTTCTTCTAAGGTTCTCCTTTAGGAAGACCTGGATGCGGTGGGTATGGTTTATCCCATTTATTATACCAACTGCCTCTTCCTCTACCCTAGTTGAAATAAGTACCACGGCCACCTTGCGAGGGACCGTTTCCCCTTCCTCCCACGTAGTGGCTACCTTCGCCACCACCCCTCTGGGTGCCTGGGCCTCTTCCACCACGGCCACGACCTCCTCTTCCTCGGCCGCGCCCWCTACCTTGTCGCCCTCCCCCGCGGGCTGCAACGACCGCGTAGCTCCCCTCCTGAGCTACCGGTTCGTTGAATTCCTCGAGACCGTAATCCACTTGGTCCCAAGGGATGGTTTCCATGCCTCCTCCCTCAAAGGTCAGGAGGAGGCTGTCCTTCCCAGGGATTGACCCTGAGATGGTACGATTTTGCCACTTTCGTCCCGCTTGCAGATCTTTCCAATAGTGGCAGTAGTTAGCCTCAGTCAAGAAGCCAACATGATCCAATGCGATCTTGCTGAACTTCTCGTAGGTCATTCCTTCTTCCTTTGTTTGGGGATATAGTTGGGAGCAAATATGATTGGGGAGTGCACGTGCAAAACTATTCAGAATTTGTGCGGGAGTTAAGCCATGCTCAGTGCTTTGCTGCAGCAGTTCATCCATGGTTGACTCGAGTGCTTAAGTGTTTTTCCATTTCCTCTCAGGTAGATTTAACACTAACATTTCGGTTCGACGGGCCAAGTTCTTGTCCTCGAACCGTTCTCTGACGGCTTTGAGGAAGTCTTCAAGGCGAGTTTTCTGAGAATATTCTACTAATGACTCACATCCCGCTTCCTTTTGCAAGGAAATCGCAAAACTCATCGCATCTCCCGCCATACACGAACTTGCCATAAGCACTCTATCCCAAAACGGAACTCGCTGTCCATAACAGTAAGATTCGATTGCCGCAATCCAGTGCAAAACATTTTCTTCTTTCTTACCATTATAAGTCCATGGCAACTTTAACTTAATCTTGTTTACCTTCCATGTATCACCTTCTTCACGTTGCACTCCTTTCTGCTTCTTATCCCCATCGTCTCCATCATCGTCGCCGCCCCCTTCTCCACCTTCGGCTCCTTTCATTATTTTCTCAATTACTTCCGGTGTGAAGGTGTTAGTAATGTGCTCATCTAGCTTTACAATATAGGATTGGATATGTTTGTCCACATCTTGCGCTGACTTGTGCAGAAAGGTATTCCAAGCGTTTTCAAACTCTACTTGGTGAGTCTCCACCTTCTGCAGCGTTCGATTCATTGCTGCCATCTCCTTTCTTGTCTGGAGGAGAGATTCTCTGAGAAGGGTAAGTTGCTCGTCGGCCGCAGTTTCCTTTCCTTTTAGGGCTTCTGACTCCCTTTGCAACTTTTCACCCTCTGCCTATAGCCTCTTTTTCTCCTCTAATTCTTGTCTTTTTGTTGCTAACAGTTTGGCATGCAATTCATTTCTATTTTCCTCCAGCATCAAATCTCTTTCTGCTTCGTCAGTAACGGTTGCCAACTTGGCTACGAACACATCTCTTTCCTCTTCCGATTCTTGAATCTGGTCACTTGAGTAGCTGTGCTGGCTGGCCCAGTCCAATGGCTGAACCAACAACGGGCGTGCCTCAGCTGCACGACTACTCTCAGGCTTATCAGTGGGTCGGCGTCGTTGCAACCTCTCCCCATCCTCCTCCTCCTCTTCTTCTTGTTCGTCTTGAATACTTTTCATTTCTTCTTCCAATTCTTTCTCCATCTTTTCTTTCAGCTTCTTCTTCAATTCTTCTTCTTTCTGTCTTTTCTTATCTTCCCTTTCTTTCTTTTTCACGGCCAGCCGGCGGTCAATCTCTGCCTGTTCTGCAGGCGTGGGGCCCGGCTTGATGGTTCCTGACTTCAGCATCATCCGAGAGGTGCAGATTCTCCCAAATCCCAATGGGAAGAATAATTTGAACAAGGGCCGCATGAGAACAGACAGGGCCAACAGGCCCTGTGTTACGGACTTCGCCAGGGCTCGATCCCTGGTCTATCTTTTGCTGTTTCGTCTGCATCCCGTTTTCGGCCTGGCACCCTTTTTCCAAACCCCTCCTTTGGTACCGTAGGATTTTGGACAACTGGCGCCATGCTGCAATTCGGGCGCCACTTTCAAATACTACATTTTTCAGTTCTGCCCTCGGRGCCTTTGCAGAAATGCCCCTGGTACCGTACGTGTCACCGGTACTTATGCCGGCTCCCCGTACGGTACGAGGAGGAGTCTCGACCAGTTCTCTACTGCTGTCCTCGTACTCAGTGTGACTTGCCGTTTCGGCATTCGGAATCCAAGACTTCGACTTTGTGCCTTGCCACTGTGTCTGCGTACGACCCTCAGTCCGAGTCCGTCGTGTCGAGTGAGTGAGTGTGTGTGTGTGCTCTCACTCTCTCCCTCTCTCTCCCTCTCTCTCATCTCCCTCGGCTCACCCTCAGCCTCATGCTCGTTACACTGGTATCGGAGCGGTTCGAACCCGCCCGACCCACCCTACTTCGACGTCGTCACCTGGCCATCATCAACCATCGTCGAGATCGTCGCCGCCGTGCCACGTCATCATCGTCATCATCGTGATCGTCGTCATTGTGCCCCGTCATCATCATCACGAACGGGATTCTTCTCCTCCTCCTCCTCCTCCTCCTCATCTTCTTCCTCCTCCTCCTCATCTTCTTCCTCCTCCTCCTCCTCATCTTCTTCCTCCTCCTCCTCCTCCTCCTCCTCCTCCTCCTCATCTTCTTCCTCCTCCTCCTCCTCTTCCTTCTCCTCCTCCTCTTCATCTTCCTCCCATTCTGTGTATGCGGAGGTAGGGTGTCTAAGAGGGCTGAGATCCGTACTTGCTGTGTGTTTTGCCGGCGTCATGCAGGGCAAGATGTCAGCTAAGCATCTCACAGACCAGATGAAGCTGCACTTCATCGTGGAGGGCGTTGCGGGGAAATATGCATTCAAGGGATCGAAGCGGTGGAAGTGCAAGTACTGCGAGCACCGTTTCATTGGGACTGCGACGAAACTCACGAAACACTTCCTCGAAAAGTGCAGCCTTGACTATTGCACTACGGAAATGTCGGTGGAGGAGAGGGCGAGGAGGGAAGAGGGGATAAGGCAGGGGAAGTGGCTTGCTCGCGTGCTGACGCACGGAGAGGCACTAGGGTCCGGGCCCAGCAATTCGCAGACCGTCGCTGAAAACGTCCCTCAGTTTCGTAGCTCGGAGGTGGGTGCAGCGGGCATCACCGATGAAACACCCACGCCTCAATCGACTGCAGGCAAAATTCCTGGATCGAAGGCATCCAAGGCAGTTCCAAAGGGACCTTTGCGGCAGACACTGATCGAGGAGGCCGACAATGTTATCACGCATAACGAGCGGACGAGTCTGTTTCTTGACAGGTTTCTAACCTGCACAAACCAGCCGTTCAGTTTGGTGGAGGATGAGTATTTCTAGAAGTTCATTGACGCGGTGAAGGAGGCCCATCCGACGTGGATGCCGTGCAGAAGGGATGAGCAAAGGACGAAACGGCTGGACGCTGACTACACGCGGGTTGGGGCGGAGGTGCGTTCGATGATCCCGAAGTGGAAGAAGTCCAAGTGTATGCTGCAGATGGACGGGTGGTCCGATCGCCAGAACAAGCCCCATCTGAATGTCATGGTGTCCTCGCCAGTCGGTACGGTCTTCTGGAAGTCAGTGTGCATGGAGGGCAAGGAGAAGGACGCTGAAGCTTACTTCCGTGTCTTGGATGGGGTCATCAAAGAGATCGGAGCGGACGCAGTCGTTGGTGWCAYCATGGACAACGCAAGGGTGTGCGTCAMGSCARGGAAGATGGTGGAGGCCGCCTATCCGAACATCTTTCGCGTCGGATGCACTGCGCATGCGCTCGATCTTGCGCTGGAGGACATGTATAAGCACATGCCTTGGATGGCGGAGGTGGTTGATGCCGGGAACAAGGTCGGCAAGTTTTTCACGAATGTGGACAAGGCGAGGGCCATGTTCCACAACTACTCACCGAAGACGAAGTTGAAGCGCCCTGCGGCAACCAGATTTGCCACCAACTTCACGATGCTCGGGTCTTTGAAGGAACTGAAGAATGCACTGGATCGCTGCGTTTGCGATGTGGGATGGGTGGAGAAGATGGTACGGGCAGAGCAGTTAGTGGCGTTCAACGAGGTGACGGCCATCATTCTAGACAAGGGCGAGTTTTGGAGCAACGTCAACAAGGCGATCGATGTGATGCAGCCCGTAGTGGAGCTGCTTCGGCTGGTCGATGGACAAGGACCGACCATTTCGAAGGTGTACTTCAAAATGGATCGGGTTGTTCAACGCGTGCGTGCCCTGGAGTGCCTTTCAAGTGACGAGCATGAGGAGGTGCAGCGGATCCTCATGGACCGCTGGTCATTCATGACCAGCGAGCTGCATTGCGCTGCACCCTTCCTGGATCCTGAGCACCGAATGCAGAACGCGCAGCGCGACCCGGAGGTTCGCGCAGGATTCAACATCTGGCTATACTTCTGGATGCCACGAGATAAGCGCAAGGAAGTGAGCTTCCAGGTTGACCAATGGGTCAACGCTTTAGGAGGGTTCTCCGCAGAGAAGGCGCGCGAGCAAGCCAGCCAGCAGCCACCAGCTTTGTGGTGGGAGGCGTTTGGATCCAAACACAACCTCCTTGCACCGCAAGCCATCAAATTGCTTGGCCAGGCAAGCTCCTCCGAAGCTTGCATGAGCTCATCTACGGGAGAAGGCGCACGAAGCTCATGCCGGAGAGGATGGCCAAGCTTGTGTACAACAGCTGGAATGTCCACCTTCTGAAGAGCATTCGGTGCGTCGGGGGGGATGAAATCCACATCCCATGGGCGGATGACTTCCCGGTGGACAAGGAGATGGAGCACTGGTACGCAGATTGGCTGAAGCGTGTCCACGGAGAGGTGGAAGAAGAAGAGGTGGTTGTGGCGGACGTCGAAGACGAGGAAGATGACTTTCCACTGCGGCGCACCTTCCAGCGCAAGGACGAGGTTGACGAGAGGCTGTGTGAGGAGGAGGACTCTGTTCTCGTCGGTACAAGGGAGCGCGATTGGCACGAGTGCACGAAGCCCGGGAAATACCGTGAGCGTGAGTTGCGCAGGAGATCAGGCAACGAGCTGCCCGTGCCTGAGTTGTATACGGAGGAGGGCTACGCTCTTGCGTTGGCAGCTCGACGAGCGGGCACATGGGTGGAGGGTCGGGAGGAGGGACCACGGAGGGGGCGCACAAACAAGGGCAAAGAGAAGCCCGGTGACAACGCGCCCGAGCAGCGTGGCAAAAGGAAGGCTTTTGAGCAAGAACAGCCACGACCGAAGAGGGGCTGACCCACATTGGCGGAGCAGGCAGAACGCAGGGCACGAAAGGCGGAAGAGAAGGCCGGCAAGGCAGCAGCTGACGCTGCCGCAGCAAAAGCTGCTGCGGCCAAAGTCGTTGCAGCCAAAGCGCGAGCGTCGGCGAAAGCCGCCGCGAAGAACGCTGCCGCTGGGAAAACGAAGAGAGCCGCCATCATAAATGATGACGACGATGAAAATATCCCAGAAGACATCCGAGGAGACGAAGAGCTCGAAGGCTCAAAATCGACTTCTTCCAGCTCAAGTGACACATCTGATTCCTGTGGGGGGGAGGGAACGGAGGAGAGTGACGAGGAAGAAGGCGGTGAGGGTGAGGCGCAGCCGGAGGAGAGCGAGGAGGAAGAAGGGGAACAGGCGGCGTAGGGTGCACCCACTGTGCTGTTTTGGCAGACAAACTCCAGTTACTAAGCAATTCGAATGTTGAACTTGTGGATCTTTTTTATATAAACTTTTTGTCAAGTTTTCTGTTGTCTTTCTCATTCTTTGCTGTGTGTGGTGCATCATCGATTGTTCATAGTTTGTTTTCTGTGTTTTTGTGATRCCATACCGCCGCTCGATTGCATGGATGCAATGAATGCCTGCTGCCGTGTTTCGTCTTCGCACTCCAAATGCAGGTGAGTGGGACACCCCCCCCTTTCAACCACTCGAATCACAAAAAAAAAAAAAAAAAAAAAACAGGAACGGGAAGAAAAAAAAAGAACAGGAAGAAAATAAAACAGAGTTTCACTGTTTCACTAACTCTAACAACAACTACCTGGACCTGCGTGGACAGAACAGTACACAGGCCAGACCTGTGCTCGGGAAAAATGCACTGTCTTTAATGATTTGGCGCACTGTGCGCAGAGGTCCCGAGGCCCTGTACGCACAGCGCACAGCGCACGACGCACAGCGCGCCGCACCACACAGCGCACAGCGCGCCGCACCACACAGCGCACCGCACCAGGGCGCCGCAAGTATGCGACTTTCCCATCTCCCCCTTCCTCTTCTTCGTCTGATCCCCTCCTCTTCGTCTGTGTATGTCTGGACCTGGCGCCTCTTTCCTGTGTATAGCGCCAGGCTCCTTCACACCTTGGGATGGACATGATGCATGTTTGGTCTGCGTTTAAACA